TGCAAATACAATCATCAAAACTTGTCCTTCTAATAATATATCATAGCACCACCTTTTATTTGCAGTACTTGATACATAAATTTCATTGTCAAAACACATCTGGCTTTAGCAATGTAAACATATTTGCTATAAGTAAACTTTAAATGATAAAACTGAATGATACTACTGAATAAATCAAAATAGAACTGAGCATCACCACATGACATAATTAAACAAACATTACATAATACTGTCTCAAAAAGAACCACAACTTAATAAATTTCACAAAAAGGAAGCAAAAACAAAGTAATGTGTAAACTCCCAAAGTAGTGTTAAAATACTGAAGAATATAATATAAAATTTACCTCAGAAAAACAAGGGGAAACAACAAAACCATGCAGTGAAAACCAAATTGGTTTAGTAGCTTACAAGAGTCATTTTACTGCAAAGGCTTACTAAAATGCACTCTGACAAAATGATTTATTGTCTATCTCCCTTTTAAAAAATTATCATCATGTTTTACCACATAAGTTGGGTACTTTGTAGAAATTTCACATTTATTGTCAGTGTGGGATCATTACCCCCAAAAACTTTTCATCTCTAAACTACTTTTCCATCTACCCAAAAACCATTAAATTATCTTCATGAAAATTACCATTATAAAGTCAAATAATTCCTAAACAAATCATCATAAAAATAAATCTGTCTTAACAGACTAAGTACAGAAAAAGTGTATACGTAAGAGCTGAAAATCACAAAAAGTGGAGTAAGGAAAAATGTTCACATTTATCATTACTTTTTTTTTTTTTTTTTTTTACTTTCTGGCTAAAATTAAGAAACAAGTTTCTAAAATGTCAGCAAGGACAGTCAGTGCCGCTTTGCATTTGTCTGCAATATACAAATGAGTGAGATATCTGCAGTATAAGGCAGACTTTATTTTTACCCTCAAACATAATTCAGTTATAAAGACCTCAAATTTCTAAACCCAGTTATAATACTGTGGCAGGCAAAACAAATTTGTTCTTATTGCTCTCATTATATTCCAGCTTAATCTACAAACGTGAACATTTTTCCTTATGTTGTCTCAAACTATACTAAAACAAAAAAAAGTCTAGAGAGAGATCTCTGTTGGTTTCCACAGATAAATTGAAAAAGGAAAAAATGAAATTGGAATATTATTTTATCTTCTTAAATGTCCTTAAATGTTTAGCACTTCAGGCAGCACTTGACACAGCAAGTTTCTTCAAGTGATCCATAAACACTTGTAAACTAACATCATCTGTTAGAATAGGTGCTCCAGATTCCTAAAGGAAAAGAAAGATTAGCTATAATTAAAACATAGCTTTGGAATGTATAAGCAAATGTTTAAAATAGACAAGGAAATCATTTTAAGTAAAATAATGCTTTTGCTCCTGTTGAATGAAGAATAATCTAACTGGCCTTTGTCCCTCGTTTCTGGAATCGAGACTCTACATCCTAGAATTCCCTAAGCAATAGAAGTATCTTTGTCATTCATAGGCTGATGGGACTACATCTGAGTTTATGCTATGAGAGTAGATGGCTCAGGATGAGGGCTGGTCACCAGAAAGACCAATGATGTGATTAGAGGGTTGGGGCTTTAAGACAGCCTGACCTCCAGACCCTTTGTCCCTGGCATTTTAAGGCCAGCTGGAAAGAAACAAACTCATAGTATCATTTTTAAAATAAACTATGCTTATCATGTTTTCAAGTCATTTTAATTGATTTCTGTGAGTCTAGATAATTAACAAGAGTTTGGGGAAATTTCTAACATCAATTTTAATAAAAATTATGTTCAAAGAATGACCTTGGTAACCTAATCCATTAACAATGAAATTTTACTAAACCAAGAGAAAATATTTCTCGAAGAATTTATATCTGAATTTTAAATTTTCTTCTGATACTCAATTTCTTATTTATTAATAAATAATGTGTTTCCCTGAAAATAAGACCTTCCCATAAAATAAGCCCTAGCAGGATTTCTAAGCATTTGTGCAATATAAGCCCTACCCTGAAAATAAGACCTCTTGATGGCCGTGGCTACGCAGCCTATCTGCACAACCCATGCATTTCGTCACGGAGCGGTAAAGAAGATGAGCAGCCCTTCTCATCTGCCCCATGAGAGCTCTATTGCTCGACATGAGAGACTGGGGCCAATGGTTCTAAAGAAAATAGAGTTGCAAGAAATTCAGGATGGAATTCGGGATTTGGAGAGTTATGATGATATTCCAGAAGAAGACGACTTAACTATATTTGAATACATGTAGCTTGTTGTAGCTTACTTTAAAAAAGTAACACATCCCCTGAAAATAAGCCCTAGGGTGTCTTCTTGAGGAAAAATAAATATAAGACCCTATCTTATTTTCGGGGAAACACGGTATATAAAAAGTCTAAAATAGGAAATTAAGTAATTTTCAAAAGATATCAGCAAGTTAGTGGCAAATATATAGCTACTATGGTTCTGGTCTGGCACAGCTACAGACATGCTATAACCTCTCCTGAATAAAGGAAAATCAATTTTATCATGTTAATTCATGAGAACTTGAAACAACTTGATAATGCAGGGAGGCAAAAGCACTAACTATCCATATGACTTTTTTTTCAAGAGACAGGGTCTTACTGTATCACCCAGGATAGAGTACAATAGCATGATCATAGCTCACTGCAGCCTCAAACTCCCCAGTTCAAGCAATCTTGCTACTTCAGCCTTCCAAGTTGCTAGGATAACAGGTACACTGCTACACCCAGCTAATTTTTTAAAAAATATATTTTTTGGTGGAAACAGGGCCTCTATACGATATCAAAGCTGGTCACAAACTCGTGGCCTCAAATAATCCTCCCAAAGCGCTGGGATTATAGATGTGAGCCACCGAGCCTAGCCCCATATGTCTTTGAAGAAGAAAGTCACTTAACCTGTGTCTTAGTTTCCTAATCTGTAAAATAAGAGTAATAGCAAGATCTATCTTACACAGTTGTTGCAATGATTAAATGAGTTAAATTGTATACAGCAAGTAGAACAATACCAGGCACCCAACATGTTTTAGCCATTTTATATTCCTTCTTTTTTTTTTTTTTTAGACAGAGTCTCGATTTGTTGCCCAGGCTAGGGTGAGTACCATGGTGTCAGCCTAGCTCACAGCAACCTCAAACTCCTGGGCTCAAGCAATCCTGCTGCCTCAGCCTCTTGAGTAGCTGGGACTACAGGCATGCACCACCATGCTCGGCTGATTTTTTTCTATGTATATTAGTTGGCCAATTAATTTCTTTCTATTTATAGTAGAGACGGAGGTCTCACTCTTGCTCAGGCTAGTTTCGAACTCCTGACCTTGAGCAATCCGCCCATCTCAGCCTCCCAGAGTGCTAGGATTACAGGCGTGAGCCACCTCGCCCTGCCTTATTATTCCTTCTTTTGAAAAACCTATTATAACACTGAAATACTTCTCTTTATTCTATATTCCTAGTTAACACAGAGATGCAAAGATCTCAAAAATGTGACCTAAATCAATAATAACCTGGTGGCTTGCTTTTTATTTCCTGTAACTAGGCCATTTTTTTTTTTCATTTTACAACTGTTTTCCACTTCAAGTCACCCAACCTCAGATCTATTTATCCTAGTCATGGATTTTCTAATTTATATACCGCAGAATTCTTATCTGAAATTATAAATACTAATGCTCAACTCAATTTTATCAAAAATTAGCAGTTGATTGATTGATCTCAATTTTTCAATTGGGCCCCTTTTCTATTTAAAAAATATCCAGGATTAGGCAGAATGGTTCAAGCTTTACATTACTTAGTATATGAAGCACTAGAGCAACAGAGGCCTCTAGGACCTTATCACAGAAGGTGTGTTGCAGTGGTGCCCTCTTCAGCCATTCATGGATAATACTTATCACTAGGTACTTGGATTTCTAACAAACTCCTAAGATACTAGATTTCATTAATTTTTAGTAAAATGCCTGGCTGCTAAAGTTAATTCCCTAAATTGGAATAATCAAATTAACTTAATTATTAAAACTTCACATCTTGAGTCTGAAAGGCCTGAGTTAAAATCTGGACTGTAGGCTGGGAGGTGGGCAGATCATTTGAGCTCAGGAGTTTGAGAGCAGCCTGAGCAAGAGTGAGACCCCATCTCTGCTAAAAAAAATTGAAAGAAATTACCTGGACAACTAAAAGTACATAGAAAAAATTAGCCAGGCACAGTGGCACATGCATGTAGTAGTCTCAGCTACTCGGAAGGCTGAGGCAGTAGGATCACTTGAGCCCAGGAGTTCAAGGTTGCTGTGAGCTAGGGTAATGTTACAGCACTCTAGCCTGGGCAACCGAGTGGATTCTGTCATAACATAACATAACATAACATAACATAACATAACATAACATAACATCTGGACCCTGCCATAGTTTAACTACGTGATCTTGGTAAGACACTGAATTTATATAAGCTTCAATTTCCTCTTCTGAAAAATAGGATTAATAGTATTAAACTTATAGACATTTTTAAACAATTAAATAAGAGTACATAAAAAGCATAGTGATTAAAACAGTATAGATTCAGGCCGGGCATGCTGGCTCACGCCTGTAATCCTAGCACTCTGGGAGGCCGAGGCGGGCGGATTGCTCGAGGTCAGGAGTTCAAAACCAGCCTGGGCAAGAGCCAGACCCCGTCTCTACTATAAATAAAAGAATTAATTGGCCAACTAATAATATATAGAAAAAATTAGCCGAGCATGGTGGTGCTATCTGTTAGTTCCAGCTACTTGGGAGGCTGAAACAGCAGGATTGCTTGAGCCCAGGAGTTTGAGGTTGCTGTGAGCTAGGCTGATGTCATGGTACTTTAGCCTGCGCAACAGAGTGAGACTCTGTCTCAAAAAAAAAAAAAAGCATAGATTCAATTTATTAGTGATTATGAAAATATTAGCATAATTTCTCATAAAAATCATGCATCAAGAAAAACCTTAGGTTCTTGTTTATTCCTCTAATGCCCTCACTTCCATGTAGTAATAATTAAACTTCAAAGTTTAAAATAAGTTTTCTTTCCTGTGTTAAATATCTTTAGAGAGAAAATATTTTCCATTGATAACAGTGAAACCTAACAGCTAATATTTACTGAGTATTATTGTCCATATCAAGGACATACTATTATTTTGTTTTTCTCCTCTCAAGGACATACTATTATTAAACTCCGTAGACAAGGAAGTGAAGGCAAAGAGAAGTAACTTGCACTCTCAATTACCAGCCTTCTACACTTCTAAGATTAAGCTCCTTCCTTGATATAAAATCTCCTATAACTATGCCTGATAGTTAGATTTCATGACTTTTAGACCTTGGTTTCAATTTATTTATCTATATCACAAAACCTCCTTAATTCCTAACCACTTCCACAGAACTCCCATACTCTTATCTCTGCTCTCTTCTGTCCAGATCTATTCTATTTGATATATGCTATGTTTAAGGTACTGTGGGAAGTCAAAAATGAGAGTGATAGTTATTGCCCCCAAGTAATTTATAATCTAACAGGAAAAATAAGTGCCATATGAAATGGATGGGAAAACCAGAATGAAAGGGCAGTTATATTACACAAATATAGTCATACAATCAGAGGAAGATGTTATGGTTTGAATGTCCTGTCCAAAACTCATGTTGAAATTTAATGCCCAGTGTGGCAGTATTGAGAGGAGGGTGCCTTTAAGAGGTGACTGGGTCATGAGGACTTGTTCTCATGAATGGATTAGAATCCATTCATGGATTAATGAATTATCACAGCAGTGAGACCGGAGGCTTTGTAAGAAGAGGAAGACAGACCTGAGCTACCACGCTCAGCCCCCTCACCATGTGATGCCCTGTACCACCTCAGGACTCTGCAGAGTCCCCACAAGCAAGAAGGCCTTCACCAGATGCAGCCTCTCAACCTTCGACTTTTCAGCCTCCGTAACTGTAAGAAATAAATTTCTTTTCTTTGTAAGTTACTCAGTTTCAGGTATTCTGTTATAATAAACAGAAAACAGACTAAGAAGAGTTTCATGGAGTCAGTGACCTTAAAGTGAACCTTGATGGATGGGTAGAGTATGTTCAAGTGGTGATACATAAAATGACAGAAAAAGCAGGGTGAGAAGTCTAGCTTGGCTAAAAGAACTACATAATAGCTAAAGGTAGAAAAAGATATTTGGGTCATACCAGAAAGGACTCTCAATAGCAATATAAAGGGTTTATATGTAATTCAATAAAAGGTTATGGAAGTTTTCAGAGCTGATATTCAGGACTATTACATTAGGGCAACTATTCTGGC